CGGCTCCGGCTCCGGAGAGCTGGACGCGGGGCCGTGCTGAGGAGGCCGCTGGCTGTGGCCCTGTGTGAAGGTGTTCCTGACAGGGGGCCTTCCTGCCGCTCGTGATCTCGGTGACCGTTACAGGTTGCTCTTTCAGTTAGATCGTCCCTGTAACGCAGACGACCTGTCCTTACAGTGGGTAGGCATACGGAAAGGTACCGTGTACATCTCTACCGCTGGCTCTGATTGCCTTGTGAGAGGGTGTGGTCGTGCTTTGTGTCGACCTTTTCTTCTGGTATTGTCTTTCTCTTCCTAGTGTGGTTGAGGAGCTGGTTCACAAGCCTTCTCCGCAGGGATTGAAATACAGCCCCTGAGCTTAAGTTGCTGTCTGCCCCTGCATCTACCCTGATTACAATAGGGCAGGCCTTTATGTAATTAGATGCTTCACCCTATTAAGTCAGCTTTAATACATTCTAAGACAGCATTTTCCCAACTTCTGGAGTGGCATTTCCACTCTGAAAAAAAGGTAGAGAATTTATTTCTCACAGTTTGGTTATGGCCCTGTTCAGGTATGTCTGCATGCTCCATGCAGTACACTGAGAAATGCTGTTCTAGGAGGATGGGAAAATGTGACTTGGCTACGAGCTCATTCTTTGTCCTGATCCCAGCATGGGACATACCTGGAGCCTACATCAGTAAACTGCTTATCAAGAACTCTAGAACATATTCCTTATTTTTAACTAATAAAGTCTTTCCTGGTAGTTAATTTTAAAGGTTTGGGGCTTTCTGGATAGAATTAAGTGACATAAAAGGTAGAAAAGTAGTGACACATTAAAAAAAAAGAAATCAAATTGGTTTGCTTCTAAACTGCAGTTTAAAAATCTTGCTGTGTTTTGCAGATTAGAAGATCCTTAGTAGGGAAGAATAACTCTGAGATTTAGAGTCACAGTTTAACCTTGGCCCAGGACAGTTCATACTAGCAATCGGTAACTTGTCAAAGGTTGACAATAGCTTGTCAAGTTGAAAAATGCAAGAGGTCAAACAAAGTCTTTCTGTAAAGCTGTCAAGTGATGGGAGGGATATGACAGAAAGCACTAGCTTCAAGAACTTTTATTAGAGTTGCTGAGAAGTCTTCTGGGTCGTGCCTGTGCTGTGGCTAGAGAGATGGATAGGTAAAAAATAATAATTCACTTTCACCATTGCAGAAATGCTTAAATGGATCTGCCCAGTGTTATGTGCCTGCTTAAGCTTCTGAACAGTTGGGAGGAAAAAAGTCTGTACTGAAGCAATCTTTATCCTGGTCTTGCTTCTCCTTAACCTGGATACTGTTGTGCCTTTCTGAATGTAAACATCTGTTCTAAATCGCTTATGGCAATGACCGACTTGACTTTCTCAAAACACTTGAAAACTTAGCTCATTCCACTTGCTCGCTTGATATTTTTAGGAGTCTTGTGTGAAACGTTTTGTGAACCTGATCACCTGATTTTAAAGGTTTTGATTGCATATTGTCTCAGCATACAGAGACAGACAGGACCTAGCCTGCTGTGAACTGACTGTCTTTTTTTATAAAGCAGCTAACAGATTGGATTGTCTAGGTGATTTTCCTTAGCATGATGATTGTTCTAAACTTTTTAGAAAAATTAATGACGTGGTTGATGGTTTGAAATTCTGTTTGAAGGAGACTTCCCGCAGCAAGAGGGAGGATGAGAGGTAGCATTTCCGGATTTTTTTTCGAAACTATTTTTAGTTAATGGACTAGGTTTAGACAAGGGGTGGGCAGGTATGTGCTTCAGAATTCTTACTGCTAATTCTTATTTCTTTGGCATTTTCAGGGACACGCTGCACTCACGTGCTTGTGCTTTTGAGGGCTCTTGATTCTTTTAATTTCATAAAGTACAGTATGAAGAGACGTTATTTTGTGGTAGGATTAAGTAGTTTGTATATAGCCAACAACAGTTCTGGCTCTCAGAGATGACATTTTAAACTTGTAAACGGGTTGAAAACTAGCTGGTTTAAGCTTTCTATTTGTTTTGTGCCAATAGCAAGCTCTGACCATCACTGCAGATGTTCCCAAACTCCTGCTTCTGCAGTGATGTTCTAAAAGGTTCCCTTCCTCCCCGGCTTTGGCTGCGGCAGCTTGTCTTAAAGAAGTGTATAACTTCCTGTTTAGAGATGCTGGCAGATCTTGCAAAAATCATAGGGAGTTGACTTCCACCTAATTTTGCAAGTAGCAGAAGAAAATTAAAGTAGGCTAATGACATGCATTCCTGCTATCATAGCTTGAGATAATAAGTGTCTGCTATGGCCTATATACGTTAAGATTTCTGACAGCTGCTTTGAGTAAAGTGTATAAAACTCATGATGAAAATAGACTGCAGTGAAAATAGTCTCATTTGATGAACAATTGTGTATATTATCACAGACAATGAAGTAACTATTGAACAGATGATGGGCTTAGTGATAAACAATGATGTGAAGTATGGTTAATAAGGCAAAGGAATATTTCTGGATGGTTAGTTTTCTTATTTCTTACTCCATTCATACCAGTGGATGGAAGTATTTCATATTGTCTTTTATGAAGTTATCACTTTGGGGTTATTAGGTATTTAAATATGCAGTAAAGATAAGTACTTTGAAACTAATAATTTCTCTATTTCACTAATCTCTTTGAGAGCTGAAGTTGTAAATTATTATTAGGGAGCTCAATTCTATATTACTTTGTAGAAAAGAGGGGAAAAGTATTGTCTCCTAAAATTACAGGATCTGCTTGTCTCTTTCTTATAAGAAAGGAATTTTCTGTATAAATGTGACTGGCTGTCTCTAAAATTCTGCATGTAAGTATTAGGATTCTGTTGAATAGATGCTGTACTGCCAATCGGAAAGATAACACTGGACTTAGAGCTTTGAGTTAGAAAACTCTTTCAAGTTTTACTTTTTAAGGTTTTGTTTTTACTTTTTTTTAACTTTTTTTAAGTTTAAGGGTTTTTTAATTTTTTTTAAATTTTTGTTTTACTTTTTAAGTTTTACTTTTTAAGTTTAAGTTTTACTTTTTTAAAGTTTTACTCTTTGAGTTTTTACTTTTGTTCCCTTTTTCCATTATGCTTCCTCAAGTCTAGCATTTACAGTTATTGAATTCTTTAGAAGTGGGTGTTGAAGTTAGAAACATAGGTGTGATAAACTAAGAGAATTATTTAGCTCTCCAAGAGCCTGTCCACCCCAAATCACCCAAATAATTTTAGTTTGGTTTTATGTATCACAACTCTCATAACTTAAACTATAGAAATAATTTTATTCTACCCTAAGATCCTCACAACAATCCAAAAAGGATGAAGATTTTTGCATTATTTCTCCTGATTTTCTGCATCCATGATTTTTATTGGGTTTCTGGGGAAGCTAATTTAGGTATTTAGGTAATTACTTGAGAACGAGTTACTTCTGAAATGCCTCACAGTGCTACCAAGCCAATAAGTTTGTTACAAAGATGAATAAGTAATTGTCCTCTAATTGGTGTTCCTACTGTAAAACTGGTACTTAGCTTTGTTGCTGGAAATACGGAAGAGTAGCTATTGCTTATACCAGATCTTTTTTTTAAACCTAGGTATCCAAGCCCACCAATGGGATCTGGATCTGCCCCTGCTCTGTCCACTGCAGAAGAAAATGTGGAGTATGTTCGGACTCTCTATGACTTTCCTGGCAACGACGCTGAGGATCTTCCATTTAAAAAGGGCGAGATACTGGTAATTGTAGAGAAGCCCGAAGAACAGTGGTGGAGCGCCAGAAACAAGGATGGTCGGATTGGGATGATTCCTGTTCCTTATGTAGAAAAGCTAGTCAGATCTACTCATGGCAAGCATGGAAACAGGAATTCCAACAGTTACGGGATTCCAGAACCTGCCCACGCGTATGCTCAGCCTCAAACCGCAAGTCCCCTTCCCTCAGTGTCCAGTACACCTGGAGCAGTGATCAATCCTCTGCCATCCACACAGAACGGACCAGTCTATGCCAAAGCTATCCAAAAGAGAGTACCCTGTGCTTATGACAAGACTGCGCTGGCATTAGAGGTAAGGTTTTCCTCTCAAATCTTCAGAGTTTTCAAATGTTTTGTAAAATAAGAAACTAAAAGTTGTTAGTGGCAGAAGTCAGTGTGGATGACTTGATATGGAATCTGCTTATCTGTGTCAAGGAACTGAGAAGTTAAATTACATTCTGAAGAAAGATTACAAAAATTGCTTCATCTGTACCACTTCCTTTGAGAAAAAGGACCAAGTTACCTCAGGACCTGTATTTACTCTCTTTTGTTGCCTGTTGAACAGTGCAAATATGTTACAAGGCTAGAGGAGTGTGTACAGCCTGCTGTGGAAGTAAGTGCTAGTGAGAGATGACTTTGCTTCTCCACTTAATCTTGGGGGAAGGATTGCTGGTAAACATAGTCTTTCTTATCCTTGGCTGTAGTATGAGATGCACTTGAGTATCTGGTGCTGAGAGCTGAAATCTGGGCAGAAATATATCAGAAGTACTGTAGTCCCCTTTAGAACTGGAGTTTGAGCAACCTTAAGACCCAAATTGGGGGCAAAGGGTTAGATGAAAGACCGCAGTGTAGCCCTAAAACTTGTGTTCAATTTTTAGTAAGTTCCTGTGCTTCCCAAAGCATTTTTAAATTTTATTTTTAATAGGGATATCTTTAAGACTTTAGAGCTTTATTCTTTAAATAATAAAAAAAATCATGCTATAATCTAGTTTAACTGTCATAAACAATGGATTAGAAGCAGTTTAGAAAGTTATATCCAGAACTCTTGAGTCTGCTGCTTTTACATTTAGATTGTACTGAAGGCTAGTTAACCCATAATTCAAAAATGTCTCACCTGGAAAAAGTGCCAGTCTCAAAGATGAAATTTGAATGTGCTATAATACTTAAAGGAATAAATGCAAGGAAAAGCAAAGGAAACAACAGCATTTTAGCAAGTGAAATAATAGTGATTTTTAAAATGCGTTTCAACTTTTCCTATTGCTTTTGCTCAGTTACTTTGCCAGTTAAAGCTGTTACCTATAGCTGATGCTTTTGACTGAAATTTGAAAAGTTATGTTTGTGACTTGTAGTTACTCATAATAGTTGTCCTAAGCGTGTTTTCTCCTGTATTTGTAAAACCTCTACAGGTGATTACTATTATGGGGTTAGAAGTTAAATATGTATCTGTATTTTCCTTGAGTCTTATGAAATCTAGCAGCCTGTTATTTGTGAACAGTGTGTGAAAATTATCATAGAGCCAAAGTGTAAATTCACTGCCAGCTGCACAGTACGGAAGATTCCTGCCAAAACTACTCATGCTTCTCAAAACAAAGCAAGGCAAGCGATTGATTTTGTTATGTTACCAATGTGTCATGGAAATACTTCAGGGAACTTGCTTTGCTGCACAGTACCAGAACCACTTGGAAGGGTGGCCCTCACAAACACAGTTTTTGGACTTGTTCTTACGTCACTTGGTTAATCCCATCATTTTAGCTACTCTATTGTACTGGTAGGATTAATTCTTTGACTAACACGTGGGTTTGAATTGTTTTGAACCTTCAAATTGCTCAAGTTTTGTTTGAGAGATTCTTCTCTTCCACTGAATTCTAATCAGCTATTGCCTCATGTCTGTGTCTCCCACCATTGGCATATTTTGTCATCCTGCGTAGTTTGATTTCTTTGAAAGTGCACCTTGGCTGTGCTGTGGCCTCTTAAGAGGCTTCAGAAGCAGAATTCTGGGAATTTATCTAAGTTTTCATTACAAACAGCACTTAGAGCGTCTCCATATCTATCCATGCATAGGGAATTTTATCAACCTTATTATAGCACTATTTTTCTGTCACATGTACTACTCTTAAAGGATAAAATCCCTCAGCTTTCCTAACATCCGCTGGGCCCTGATGATGTATTTAATTCTAACCTTGTCAGGGCTCTACATGTCACTAAACAATCTGGACCATTTGAAGCTTCTGTGTTGCAAGAGCACTGAAAGTAGCTGGTGGTAGAGAAAGAACAGGTTATGGGAATATTTTGAGGAAGAAAGTTAATGGGGTTCTTTCAGAATAATAGTATTTGACATTACTCCACCTTATATAGGTGTACCCTAAATCGCAGTTTGGCTTGTACAGCTTGTTAGTGTAATTATACAGTGCCTGATTGGGTAGTCTCATTTAAACTGATAAAAGAATATGACAGCAAAGTATCTGTTTGCTGGCTCCAGCTTTGTGTGGTCAGCACACAGACAGTACTTAAAAGGAAGAGAATACCATCTGGAGTAAATAAAGCTATTGCACAGTAATCTGCTCGACTTCCTTTTAAGTGGAGGGATGTCATTCTCCTGGGTTCAGCTTGAAAATGGGACAAGCTCTCTGCTTGCAAGTCCAGTTTTTGTGTGGCATGCTATCATTTACATAAGATGTCACAAGTTTTCTTTAGGAAGGGTAAAGACTGATAGCCTGTTACAGAGTTGTTGTTTTATAAATAAGGTATAATTTTTTAAAAAATTTCTCACATGAAAAGCGCAATTTGTAAAACAAGTAAATACTGAAAATCTGAAACAAGGTCTCTTTGGGTGGATAATGATGGAGTGTTTAACTTCTTGAAGTGTGAGTTTAAAGACAACTAGGGTACTAGTTAATATGGCGCTTATTACAATTTTGACCTTGCTGGGCTGAAATTATTTAGCATTCATATTGGTATTATTGAAGTGACTAACATTGACTTGGTCCTACTGCATTATATGCTCTACTTGTGTTCTCTAAAATAAAAAAATAAATAGTAACCTGTTATTAGGCTAAAATAAAATTTTTAAGTATAGCTACTATCTCAAAGCGTACAGTTGGTGTGCCTGTAACTTGGAGCATCTCGCTGCACTAGATATCAGTCATTAAAGCCTACAGTAAAATACATGTATTTCTAAGATTTACATACACTGTTTGCCAGTTGAGTTAGTTACCTTGGCATTTCAGATTTAATGTTTTTAATGAAATTATTGAAGTCTGCGGTTTCTCACTGCAACTAACTTTATTACTAATGTGTGTAGTGTTTTCATGGACACTGCATTAAAAAAACAAAAAACAACAAAACCACAAACAAACAAACCCACACGAGACCAGAACAACAAAAGCAAAAAAAAACCCCCATCTAACAACCCAGATCTGTTTCTTTACTTGTGTGCTTTTAGCCAAGAAGCAATTTCCTTCCTTTCTGGTGCTCTAGAGGAAGGAATATGAACGACAGGGATACAGTGTGCTGTATTTCTTGGGACTAGAACTCTATGTTACAGAGTTTTGCACTGCTCTTCTTCAGTCCTGCTTTTCTTTGGGAAAACTAGGAGGGCAGTCCTAAAAAGGTTATGCAGGATAGCGCTTTAAGAAGGAGATGAATTTTCTAAGAGCAGAGATTCTTTGCCACTGTTAGTATGATACAGAGCAGCAAAGGCTACCTGAAAGTTTCACAGCAGTTAATAACCTGTTAATAACTACAGCCAGCCTGTTGACCATGATACGCTAATGAAGCAGTGCCCAGCAGACTAAAACCAGGTCTTAGTATGTTTTACCTTAAAAGACCTTAGTCTTGGTAGTTGGGTTCTACTTGTTTGGAGGCAAAGTAGTTGATGGCTTGCTAACTTCTACACAACAAAGTTCTTTATGTCCTGCATAGTCAGTAGCTAAACTAACGGTGGGTAATTCCCTTAAGAATTAGTGAACTGAAGGTTCATTCAGGACATGAACAACAAATTCCAGATTCATTTATAAAAAGGAATGAAATGGCATAAAGAACCAGAAAGTGGAAGACCAACAGCAGCCACTAGACTTATGTCTGCCATGTATTTTAAAAATTGTTCTTAAATATATTGCAAACGTTATTATAAGTGTCATAGACCATAGATTGAAGGCTGAGGTAGTCCTAGAGTTCATCTTGAGACTTAATGTGACAGTGTTATGGAATCTGAGGATTATTTTTAAACAAGAGCATCACTAAATTTTTATAGTGGCTTTTGCTAGACATCTGCCAGCATTATTATTATTATTCCCGTTCTGTCCCCATGTGTTGCCTGCTCTAGTCCACAGGTGGCGTCCCTGGTGGCAGGGAGGCTGGATTAAAATGATCTCTAAGGTCCCTTCCAGCTTAGGCCATTCTGTGATTATAGTATTAAGTAATTTATTTCTTCATGATATATCAGACAAACATGTATGTTTGCTAGTACAGAGTTAACTTGTCACTCAAGTGTTTTGCTGAAATAAATATCCATTCACTATAATTATATAACTGACTTAAAATATTTCTCTGGAGCTTGTTACAATTAGGTTACAGTTAACTTTTTTCTTCTTCAAAGCAAAGTTGAGACAAGTAGGCCAAAATATGCTAGTAGTAGCGCTTTCTTAATTAGGAAATTAGGCTACTTCTTTCGCTAGACAATAAGCATTATGCTTTTCTCAAGCCAAGGAAACTTAGTATTGCTGTGTTAAACATTAAAATGCATCTAGCCTACAAGGTCTAGATTTTAAGCAAAATATTGTGTCTATACTTGTGTGAAGCGTTGATCAGGGAGCTTTAGTTCTGATAACTATTGAATTGAAAGTGGCATTGGCAGCAGGATTCCTGTGTCTGTGCTGACATACACCAACGTTTCAGTATTCTACCTTTGAAAATACAACTGACAGCTACTTTGGAGATTCTGTAGCTTCTTTTTCCAGTCAGAGTTATTGATGGTTATGATGATAGTACTGAGTGCCTCACAATTTAATACACACCCTCAGAACTGTTTGCAGAGTTTATTTTCAGGTGAAACTGAAAGCAACATGAATAACCTAGATGAGATCCTGTGCTACAGTGAGATTCAGTGTGGCTCAAGAATGATGGTCTGTGGGAGTTTTGAGCTCTCCAAATTCTGTACAGTCACGACAACTGACTTCATCAGATGGAGACAGGCTGCCCTCATTTAATGAAAAGCAGCACTTTATCTGTGGTGCCACAGCCCCAACTCTGGCGATTGTCCCAGCTATACTTGAAATGCAAACTTCCATTGTTTTACTCCATTCCTAGATGAGGCTAGATTAATTGCATCTAGGACTTGAACATTTCTGTGCTGCCCTTTGACCTGCTTTCATGTCTCAAGACTGGTTGAAGGTCTTTCTTCTGAACTATTTGATCCTCTGGTTTGGGCATCAACTATTATTCTTCTGGCACGTGACATCAGAAGTGAAGGGTAGTCACGCTGTGCTTTCAGCCTGATGGTTTCCTGAATCTTGCAATAGGTAAAGCACCAGCTACTTCAGTGTCCCTCTGTCCTGCTTGCAGTGGCACTGCACCCTGCCTCTTTTGTGCAGCTCAGCTTTATACCTTTTGAGGACGACGGTATATAAAGTAATTTGTTGGTGTTGAGCCATGTTTATTCTTCTCCAGGACAGGCAGCTGGTCTGAACAACTGTTTTGGTACTAATGCTAGTGTTACCAAAGAAGAGAGTTGTGACACTGATTAGGATAATGACAGAGATTCAGGACACTGCAAATTCCAGAGAGCAGTATGCTTGCTGTTGATCCAGTGGGTTAAAATGATGATTTAGTTTTAATGCATTTTTATCTCCTTAAACCTATATTACAGAACTTTATCAGCCATAGAACTATTAACATACGGTTGTTAGAATATCTGTAAAATGCACTGAATTGGTTGACTGTGACTAAAATGGCTTGCAGGAAACCTTTCGCAGTGTATGAATCAGCTTCAAATGGAAGACAGGTACGGAAGAGTCTAGAGTGAATGAAGTAACCTTTCTGACTGGCATGTTCCACAGCTTGTTTCCCCAGGGCTTTGAATTCATGCTGTAACAGGGACATAATGCAAGGATGCAGTCCAAAATACGTTTTGATTTTTATCGTTTGGGTGGAACTAAATGGCTGCATTTCAGAAGTATTACTCATTTCAGCAGTTGATACTTCCATCCAGCGATGCTGGCATGCTTTACAAGTGAATTAACTTATCTGAGAGATGCGTAAACTAAGGAAGCATTATTCTAATTTATAGATAAGGGCCATGAGCTGTCCAGAGTCATACAGGAAGTCTCTGGCAGAGATGAGAATAGAACCAGGTCTCCTGACTCTGTCCTGTGCCTAATCATAAGACAATCCTTCTGACTGGCTTCAAATGTCCTTTGAAAAAAAGGGTGTATTAAATAAATTTGGTGGGAGATCACACCTCAGCTGACCATATTATAGATGTTTTAAAAAGCATTTACCAAATCACTTTTAGTTAGTACTTTGGGAACAAGTATTTAGAGGGACTGCTTGACCAAATTCTTCTAGACATTGCCAAACTGGAGGTCTTTAACATAAGATTCATGAAATATTTATTGTGACATCAAGGTGCCTTCTCCAAAAATCTTGTTTTAACATGCTGTTTAATTTAATCTTCTCAAAGGAACTGCATTTTTAAAAATAATATAGCCAAAGAGAATATTCAGAAGCTTTCATTTAAATAACCCCCACTCTGAAATAGTATGAAGTTACTGCAAATCAGTTCACTATTCCAGTGGTTCTTGGGTCTAAAACTTGGAACTTGGATGTGTCTTCAGGGGTTATTTAAATCTAGCAGTGTAACACTGAGTATTTATAGATGTTATCAGCCTTTTCCTAAAGAGACGGTTTTTAGGTTCCTGTTTAGGTCATCCTGTTACTATTTAAAGCTTTCTCTAAGCCTTTCTATTCAGTGAAAAGTCTGACAAATTATGCTTTTTAGCGAATACACAGTTAAAACATGCTGCAGTAGTCTGCGAAGAGATGAAAACCAGGCAAACTAATGCTGCGTGTATGTGCGCTGAGTTTAGGAACAGCGTAAGTAAAGCTGTCCACTTAAGGAAGTAACATGGTCTCAGTTATACACCCAGGAACGTACGTGAGTTCAGGGAGTTTTCTCCTCTCTTAAAAGCACAAGATTACAATTGTTTTAAGTGCAACAGTCTTGAGTTTGGGAGGGGGGACAGATGGGACACAGACAACCCTAGAAGTAGTGGAGACAAAAACAGCAGGTGGAGCAGTACATTTTGGGTAAATATCTAATTTCAGTCTAATATGCAGCATGAAGCTTAATTCTCTAAAATGAGTTTCAAAGCTTGAGAAATTTTAGTTTAAGAGGTGTAACACCGAGTGACTGCCAAGGAATTTACTGTAGTATCTTAAACTTCACTTAAGGGTTCTTGTTTGAGTGATCTTAAAAAAATATCTATTGGAGTAACGGTAACTGGTTTAACAGGCTTCAGATCATCTAGTGACATTCACGGTTTAGTAAACTCAGGGTTTCTTTCTTGAACAGAAAATACACAGGTCTTACCTAAAAAGTTTTAACCTAAGGCCCTTGGCTGATGTCCTTTAAGTATCTGCATCAGTTCTAAATTTTAATACTATTTAGATAATATAGACAAATTGTTAAACATACTGAATCAAGACTAAAATCTGGTTTTTTCCTTAAATATGATCGAAGCTAGCTAACTTTGGATTTCATAGTAGCTTGGTAAGCTGGGACTCAGCTACCAAGTGCTCAGACCTGGTTTAGGGAAGAAATTTAGCAAGTGTTGGCTCTTGCTCATGGGCTGGCTCTGCTCTTTGTGAAACTAGTTATTAGCTGCTAATGTCACTTCTCTAATATTTACTGTAGTAACCACAGAGTAAATGAAGTAAATGGGAAGGGAGGTGTAAGCTAGAGAGCTGCTGCAACAGACCACATGTTCAGCTATTTTGAAGCATTTAAGGGAGAAATGACCATTTTAGCTAGTCTTAAAGGCTACTTGTCACATTGCGTAGCTTTGCTTTGTAAATTAGCCTAATCCAAATTAAATACAGGTATTGAACAATGATAAGAATATAACTTATCATTTAGGCTGTTGTTTCTTGCTTGACCACAGTTTAGTTTTTCTCATCTTTCACTGACAAATAGGAAGAGACACAGTTATGGTAGAAAAGACCTGACATGTCATCATTCCTGTTTCAAATTATTTGGCAGGAAGTAGAGGTGAAAACAACAAATAAAGCCAGAATCTGTACAGCTAGTACTTAAAACAGAACTAGGACTCCAGGTAAAGATTTCTTTGCCATGGAAATCTCTCTTCAAGGGAAAAAAACCAAACTTCCTTTGAAATAAGCCAGCTGATGCTAAACCCAGTCTGAGTCCTGTGCTCTTTTGTGTGAATGTTGCATCTCATCACTGATGGTAGCTTTAGTGATACTAATTTATATCTAAGCTAAATATATTGTTTCATGAAGTTGTAAGCTTTCCTACAGGAGTAGGTGGAGCTCAGCAATTTGTCTGAATATGTAAGTGTACATTTAGCTAAGAGTCTGAAAGAGAGTGCAGACAACATATTTAGCAGCAAACTGTTGGTATTAAGTAAAAGTAACTTTCAGTTGAACCTTATGCCAAGAAGAGGATGGATTTTTTTTCTCCCTATGATAGGCTTGTATTTGTATCAGAGGCAAGATTCTGTGTGTGATAACTTCTCTTTTTTTTTTTCAATTATGCAGGTTGGAGATATTGTGAAGGTTACAAGGATGAACATAAACGGTCAGTGGGAAGGCGAAGTCAACGGTCGAAAAGGGCTCTTCCCATTCACACACGTCAAAATATTTGACCCTCAAAACCCAGATGAGAACGAATGATTCCCTCTGCCCGATTTACACTGCTGCTTCATTTTCCTGGCTATCATTAGCATTGTTTGAGGTGGGATGATGACTTAATGGCACATTGCTAGCATTGCCCATTTTCCAGCTTGCTGCAGTTTGACGGTTCTTTTAATATACATTTGGAATACATACAACTGAAGTCACTGCCTGACCTTCATACCATAGTTGTGTCATCCAGAATTTAGTTTCACTTTTAAAACTCTATTGGGCCTTAAGCTGGAGAAGACTGAACCAGTATATAGCAGAGAAGTACGGGAAGAAAACCTTTCCTCTTGACTTCCATGGACTTTTTCTGGCTTGCTCATTAGGAAAAGCCCTAATCTTAGATCAAACATGCAACTTGTGCATTACTGTCCAAGAAAAAGCAACAACAAAAATGCAATTTTAGGACTGAAGAGGACTTAGTTTTAAGAGAACCTGTCCTAAGTTAGTACATTTAAAATGATGGTCTCTTTAGAGGACAATAATTGAAGCTTACGTATTCTAAGCAGTTGTATTAGAAGCTGCTCTTTTCTGTTAACTCTTAAGCTTGTTGTTGACCTTCATGAAACGAGTGTGTGTTAAATGCAAATAACCATTGATTGAGCTGCATTGAAGCTGAGGCATTTATTTATAAGGAAACTTAGGAGGGGCTGATACTTGTAACCTGGTTTTGACATACTTAACACATTTCTGTTGATTTTTTGCAAGCACTAACTGTAGAAGGCGAGCTTTAAAGGGAAACACTTGGGCCTGGTCTACATACAGCTCTTCTGCAGTGTTGAAAGTGTAGTTTTACTAGTACAGAAGTGCTCGTCATCTGGTAGACAGATTGATCAGACTGCCATGGTGTGGAGAGGTAGGAAAGGAGGGGGGCAGAACTGGGTAAATACTGGTAGAATCCTCTTATTTAAACATTCACCTTTTACACCCATTTCCCTGCGAGCTTCCTTATCTCTCCAAAGTTTCCTAGCTGTGCCACCACCAGCTTGTCAAAAGCTCCTTTTCAAACACAGTACCTTTGCCTGGGGTGTCTCCATGTTGCTGTGCTTCTTTGCCAGAGCTGCCTTCATCTTCTTTTTTTCCTCCCTCTTTTTATCTTCCTTGCATCCCAAGTCCTCTGCATGCTGCCATCTTTTTTTTTTTTTTTTTTTTTCCCTTTTACTCTTTCAGAGAAGTTGGCTCTGCTTTATATGTGCCCCAGATCCTTTCCCCTCCCAGCATCCCCCAGAAAATGGTTAATTGGAGCCAGCTGCCTGGGTTCCCCATGTGATAAATTAATGCTCAGGCTGGAGGAGGCCATAAAGGTGTCTTATCAGTATAGCTTCTTTCCCTTTTTCTATACATAAGCTATACTGCTGTAATTGTACTTACAGTAGGGAATTATGTGGCTGCAGCTAAATAAGTACAATTCACACTGTGCAGGTTAAGTCCTTAGCCTGTGTACGGGATAGAAAAGCTTAGACACAGTGATGTCCTGTGCCTTTAAACATGTTTTGTAGGTGAACTGGAATGCTCTTTTAAATACAATGGAACACTGAATTAACAGAATGCACATCTGCAAAGACTACAACTACAAAACCTCCCTTTTCAGTCTGGTTAAGGAAAAACGCGTGTTGCAGAAGCTGACAGGAAAACAGCAGCTCCCATTTTTCAACTTTTGAAAGCTGTCCATCGTAGCAAAACATGAAACTTTGGACACCTGCAGAATCTGACCCGTTCTTATAAATGTCCAATTATATAAAAGTTGTTGTCTTAAGTTCCAGCATGTTTTTTGTTCATTTGTGTTGCTTGATCCTAATAAAAGCACGTTGTTCTTGGCTCGCGTGAAAGTGCCGCAAGATCCCTGATTGGAAGGCACAGAAGAAATGCAAAATGGCATTTGCAACAAGACACTCAGAATGCCAGGATTTTTAAAAGAACTCTCTCCGTTCATCTATTAGCTATTTCTGTAGTATTGATCGAGTGGCTGACAGTCTAGAAGTTCTTGTAGAGCATTTTACTACCAAATTAACTGTGAAGTAGAGTAGCATTGACTGAAGTGTTTGGTGCTGTAATTCTTGACAATAGGCATTGTCATTTTGTCTTGCAAAGAAAAGCTATGCAGCTCTCTTAACTGAAGGAGGTTGTGCTTTTTCTGTGCCCCAACTATACCTGTAAGTTTACTACATAGATTGTACTACTGAAAAAGTCAACTTTTGAATACAAAAACTGCACTAAACTCAGTCTGCTGCAGAGAAATCTTCTTTCAGACCTGACCTAGTTACAGGCAGCTCTTCAGAAGACTGATGGTAGAATTCTCTCTTTGTGTGGTAAATACTGTGAGATTTGAGATCCTGAACACAGCTTTTAACTGGGTTGGTTTTCTTTCTACCGAAATAAACGTCTTGACCCATCCCCTCATTGAATAAGGTATATACATCTTGAACACAAGCATTGGTTTAAGCTTAATTATGTTCTGATACTGCAGAAAAGCAAAATATTTTACCTTCAAAACTATGCAAAATCTGCGTGTAGTGGCATCTGATGCAAAGACAAGAATTCTTAAATTTTTGTGAACCTGGTTTTAGGCCACGATGAACGGTGTTTCTCTGAGTAGCAGCAGTGTGGTTCAGGTATGTTAAATGTGGTTTAAATGTAGCATACTGACCAGCCTCAGCCAACTGTAACCTTGCTTCAAAATGTGTCTTTGCTATTTTACTAGAAGACAAGTATTTTCATATAAAGATTGCATTTGATCAGTGTGTGTTTCTCTTTGAAGGACTCTGGATTCTCAATCGCTTGTCGCTTGCGTACACGTGTGCTGTCTGTTGCTTTATGAAGCCTCTTAAACTTGAGTGATAACCTGTTGGTGTAAATGTTCCTCGGGCCTGTAAGGTATATACTTACTCTGAAGCATGAGAGCTACAAGTGGTGGCTTCGATCTATGCACCATTAAAGTTGTTCTTGCTTTTGGACTAGGAGCTGGTTTAATTACCTGGTGCCGCAATAGTTAACTACCCCAAAAGGCTGTTCGACTTCCTCCTGCTGTGTACATGTGTATATAGACATTGAAGCCTCTGACCAGTCTGAAAGTTTAAATGAAAACTGTTTTAATCAGTGTCCATCACTGGATAAGCGCTAATTTAATTCATGATTGTTTACAAATTGGGAAAGAATAAACAAAAGGGAATATCCTGTTTGGGTTGGGGCTCTGAAGAGCCCAAGCATTATTTTTGTAAAGGGAAAAACAGCATTCTTTGTGCCATTTCACGTGCCTGTAAAGTAATTTTTTATATTGTATTAACATCCTGGGAACGAGTGGGCTGCCTTTGTTTTCTAGTCAACTTTTCAAGCATTTTCCTCAATACCTGCGTTTGACAGTGAGACCTGCCTAAAAGACTGCCTTTTGGGACCAGTGAAAGCATTCTTGTTATAATCATTTTCTGTTTACTTGTGTTAAATCCAAGTGTGTTTTGGGACAAGGATCCAGTTATTGCAGTGGGAAAGGTGGCCTTGTATTTGAGACAGTCTTCACTGTGTAAACTAAACTTTAAAACACAATGTGTAATTTAAAGACCATGATCTTCAGGCAATAATATTAAAGTGTAAGCTTTTAAAGTTTATTTTGGGGATCATAGCTTGTTTTATTTTTTGTGCTACAAGATTAACAGTATTAAATGAATTATATTCTTAGAATACATGGAGTGTCCTTTCTTAAGATTAGTGCCTTTTTAATTTCTTACTCCAATTATTTCGTAGAACTGGTCCCAAGATCAAGCCACTGTTGTTTTTTCTTCCCCAGTCCCCTGTTTGTACAGTCTAAATAAAAATTGCCTCAACTTGCAGTATTATTTTTGTTGTCTTTAGTCTTAAAACCTAGACAATATTACCTTACCCTGTCACTATGCTGCCCTGTTTTGTGGGTGAACAAGAGTGCCAACTGAAGTTTTCCAGAATCAAAGGAAGAGTTAAGCAGGAGAAAATGCTGCTGCCGTGCTGAGCGATACTCTCCTGTCCCATCCTCGTGCCTCTCCTCAGACTACACTGCTGTGCTCTGGAGGTTCACCTGAAAAAGATGCATCTCTGGTTATACAGGTTATCACCGTCTCCTCCACCCTCACACCCGACACTTCAGTGCTCTTCTCGTCACTGTATTTAACGCTGCTCTTTTGCCGGTCTCTGTGGAAACCGTGACCACCTTTTACTGTGATACCCTGGACTGTGCTTGTAAGAAAGACTGGTTTGTGCGTACCTTTGAATTTCGCTCGTTACTGTTGGAGTAAACGAGGCGTGACCTGTGCAGGTACGTGAGAGGGGAATGGCTGGCGTTGCAGCCACCGCTGAAAGGTGTGTCAGCATTAATACATCATAAACATCTGCTTCTGCAAGTCAAAACCAGGAGGCTGGCTTTTGCTTTTTTTTACAGTCAGTTCAGATCAAGAATACCGCTAACTAGAACTTAAGGGTTTTTTAATATTTGGGATCATTCAGTTAAATCATTAACAATGTGTTGAAACTTGAGATGATCTTACGTATGAGAAAAATAGGAGGAACGTCAGATGCTCAACTGCTGCAAAGAAGTCCAGGATCTTGCGTTGCTTCCCTGGATTCGCTGTAGGTATGTTCAGAGCCTACTGTTAAATGTCTTCTCTGGAGTACAGATTTCCATGCCATGTTAATAAACATTCATAGCCAACTCTGCATAGTGTCTTATCATCAAATCTGCACACTTGGCAAGTTCCATTTCAAAGAAAAACAGTAGTACTTCAGATGTACAGGCAAGAGTAGGTGAAGCACAGGCTCGAGACTTGATAATCCTACTTTAAACTACGTTGTATGCCTTCAGCTTTCCTGCGAAAGCTGGAGGGGCCGGCCCCTCGCTGCACCTGCTTCTTGTGACATCTTCAGTAGCTCTTGCTTATTTACGTAGCAAAACCAAGCATCCCCTGCTGTAGCAGCTGCCTGCTTCCTATAAAGTGAATTACAACCCTGGGCGCTGCAGAAGCAGCACGATTCCTGTCTGTGAGGAGGTGCAAATCCACAAGGGTGCTGCACCCCCTTTCCGATGCAGGGGCAGGCCACGAGCCATGACACCATGAGACTGTGGCCTGGGCTTGGTTTTGTTCCGGTAACACCCTAAACCAGCATCTACACACGCTTTTATTAGCAGCAAGAGGTGAAGTGGTTCCTGGGGCTTGGAGAAGTTTAAAATACTTGCATTCTGTAGAGGAGAAGTTTATATTTGTGCCTCAAAATGCATCAGATGTCACTAAGCACAAATCTGCCCCACTTTGTACTGATGCAAGGCCACAACAGTCTTACATTCCCTTATTTCATTTAGAAATTACTCCTTTCTTCTGTGTGACCTAGGAACAATGGGTTCCTGGGTTGTTTTACTGTGTCCTATTTCAGTTACCAAAAGGGACAAAGTCCACAGTCTGAGCCAGCTGCGAGGGGCTGCCATTTATCTGCATTTTGAACGGCAGGCTGCTTCCTGCCGGCCCTAGTGCGCATCCCCGGCATCGCACGGCCTCCAGCCTGTCCTCCTTCCTGCCCCAACTCTGACTGCCCAGATGATTTCCAGCTGAGGATCACTGATCTTAAAGCTCGACATCTCCACAGGC